AACAACAACAACAACAACAACAACAACAACAACAACAATAATAATAATAATAATAATAATAATAATAATAATATATTGCAATGGAGTTTGGTTTGGACAAATATACCACACTTACTGTCAAGCAAGGAAAAATAGTGAAAACTGAAGGAATCAAGATGCCCCACAAAAATAACATTAAGAGTCTGGATGAGGAAAAATACTACAAATACTTGGGTATCCTTCAAGCTGACAACATCAAGCACACTGAAGTCAAGAAAAAGATTAGAGGTGAATACATCAAGACAGTGAAGAAGATCTTAAAGTCCAAACTCAGTGGAGGAAATACCGTGAAGGCAATCAACATCTGGGCAATTCCAGTCATTAGATACACAGCTGGAATAGTGGACTGGACTCAAGCAGAACTAAAAGCAATGAATAAGAAGACCAGAAAAATAATGACAACGAATCATGCCCTTCATCCACGCAGTGACATTGACAGACTCTATCTACCAAGGCAAATAGGTGGATGTAGAATGCTGCAAGTACATCAGATGGTTGAAGAAAAAAATGGCTTTGGAAGAATATCTGAAGGACAATGATGAAGATGCACTGAAATCAGGAAGGCTTACTGACTACTGGAGAGACCAAACTGGCCTACAAGAAAGACCAAATGAAGAACAGAATAGAGGCATGGGAAGACAAAGCACTACATGGCCAGTAGATTAAAAAAATAGGTGGGAAAGCAGATAATAATAAGACCTGGCAATGGCTAAGAGCAGGAAAGTTGAAGGGACTAATTCTGGCTGCACAAGACCAAGCCTTAAGGACAAATGCATACAAAGTCAAAATTGAGAAGACAGCAACAGACAGTAAGTGCCGCCTATGCAAAGAAGCTGAAGAAACAGTGGACCACCTGATAAGCTGCTTCAAGAAGATCACATAGAGTGACTACAAGCAGTGGCATGACAAAGTAGCAACAATGGTGCATTGGAAGATATGCAAGAAATATCATTTGCCTGCAACATAACACCCCGGACTTAACAGTTGTCGATAAGAAAGACAAAAAAGTCTGGATAGTGCACGTGGCAGTGCCTGGAGACAGCAGAATAGATGAGAAAAAACTGGAGAAGATAACAAAATACAAAGACCTACAAATAGAAATAGAAAGACTGTGGCAAAGGCAAGCAAGGGAAGTACCAATAGTAATAGGCGCCTTGGGTGCAATCCCAAAACAACTGGAGCACCACTTGAACACCATTGGCATTGACAAATTCACCCTTAGTCAATTGCAAAAAGCGGCCTTACTAGGAACTGCTTCCATCCTGTGACGATATCTGTAATACATCAAAGATCCATATCTGCCTATTCCAGGTCCTTAGTAAGGACTCGATAGGTAGTCAAAAATGCCAAATCCAGTCTGAACATCTGGCTGACTGTGCGATGATGATGATGATGATGATGATCATCATCAACAACAACAACAACAACAACAACAACAACAACAACAACAATAATAATAATAATAATAATAATAATAATAATAATAATAATAATAATAATAATAATAATAATAAGTTGGAAGAGACCTTGGAGATCTTCTAATCCAAGCCCCTGCTCAGGCAGGAAACCCTATACCATTTCAAACAAATGGCTGTCCAGTCTCTTCTTTAAAACTTCCAGTGTTGGAGCATTCACAACTTCTGGAGGCAGGTTGTTCCACTGATTAATTGTTCTAACTGTCAGGATATTTCTCCTTAGTTCTAGGTTGCTTCTCTCTTTGATTAGTTTCCATACATTGTTTCTTGTCCTGCCTTCAGGTGCTTTGGAGAATAGCTTGACTCCCTCTTCTTTGTGGCAGCCCCTGAGATATTGGAACACTGCTATCATGTCACCCTAGTCCTTCTCTTCATTAAAGTAGACATACCCAATTCCAGCAACCGTTCCTTATATGTTTTAGCCTCCAGTCCCCTAATCATCTTTGTTGCTCTTCTCTGTACTCTTTTTAGAGTCTCAACATCTTTTTTACATTGTGGTGACCAAAACTGGATGCAGTATTCCAAGTGTGGTCTTACCAAGGCATTGTAAAGTGGTATCAACACTTCATGTGATCTTGAGTCTATCACTGTTAATGCAGCCTAGCACTGTGTTGGCTTTTTTTGGCAGCTGCAGCACACTGCTGGCTCATATTTAAGTGATTGTCTACTAGGACTCCAAGGTCCCTCTCACAGTTACTACTATTGAGCAAGGTATCACCTATACTATACCTGTGCATTTGGTTTTTCTTGCCTAAATGTAGAACCTTAATTTTTTCAACATTGAATTTCATTTTGTAAGATAGCACCCAATGTTCAAGTCTGTTAAGATCATTCTGTACCTTAAGCCTGTCTTCTGGAGTGTTGGCTATTCCTGCCAGCTTGGTGTCGTCTGCAAATTTGATGAGTTCCCCATCAATGAGGACTACGTGTAGAAGAGCTGTGCTTTTGTTAATAGAATCAGCCACTCATAGCTGGTCAAAGTCAAGTAGGCATGAACTTCACAGATTTGGCATCTTTAATATTTGTCTGGGGCTAATTATCAAAATCTAAGAATAATCTCCCATCCTTATTTGTACAGTAGGATTTCATTAAAGCAAAGACTCTCAGTAACTTCCCTTCTACCTTGGAATTAGATCTGTTTCTTCTTCCATTCTTTTTCCAGCCTTCCTATAATCTCTCATAAATAAGTAGCTGAAGATACATGGAATTTCAGAGAAAGAACTTTCCAATCCTGGCATTTGAAATTATCATCCAGATGGCAGCTGGGAAAAGTCTGTATATATAGGACAGATCTATAAATATATTTTTAAAAGAAAGCTTGGCTGATTATTATTTGTGATACATTAGACATTTCCTGAGCATCTTACTATATAAGAGGCTTAAAACTATTTTCAATGCTTCTGTGAGTATGTAGAAGGCTTGTTTGAATTCATTTTAATTAATAGAAATTGTTTTTCCCAATTCCTCATCTAACATAGAAAGAGAACATTTCTATTAAGATTCTTCTCATCAGCTTATTCCACAGTTTCCCTCATAAGTACTGAATGTGTGTTTGATAATTACATTTATACAGCTGAAAATATAATAGTCCAAAATATGAGCCTATTTGTAGGAGATTTTATTTAACTAAGCTGTCTTTGCAATTCTCTTTGCCTGCTTTCTTGTCTTGCAAAAACAAGATGGCTGTCAAATATGTACCAAGCAATGCATCAGCTTCTTAGGTTATAAACTCCATCCACCTCTGCCAGACAACAGAAAAATCTGTGGATGTTTTGGGTAGCTGTGATTTGAGTTAATTATGAAAACATAATGTGAGTTCTAGCACTGAATTTAACAACTAAAGCTGTCATTATGTAAACCAATGGTGAATTATCCAACTTGTGACATCTGCCTGACTGAGTGGAAGCTCAATTCACTTCTTATGCTGGGAAATTTTCAAGTGTGTTTTCTGCAAAACTAAGTGGTGTACTTAGATTTTAGTTTAACTCTCTTGTGATATTTCCATGGGTATTTGTACAAGGGAAGGCAGAATTTGGAACTTAATTTGGATGTTGTGTGAAATATATTATCCATCTGTTTCAACACAGATCATAACTGTCATTTTCTTGTTTGTAGGACTGAAATTTTGGTTAAAGATACAGTTTTTTCCTAATGAACCTTTATTGCCACTAATGCAGAAATTTTATGTTATTTCAGCAACCATCTCTTAAATGCTCCAGTGGTCAACATTGCTTACAAGAAAATTTAACTTTACTGCATTCATCTTTATAAAATAAGGGGAATTGAATACAGTCAATAGTCAAAATCAATATACAATAGTTGGCTTATTATATCAATCAGTGACTGAATAAATCTTCCATATATGAGTGGATGTGCCATCAAGGTGGCTGACTGTAGCTCCTCACTTCCTCTACAATTCTATGCAATTAGGAATAAAACAAACTATTTCCATTACATCAAATATGTTGTTCTATCTCATCCAACCTCCAGAAAGGCTGTCTGTGGAAATGTTTAACAACACCAGGCAATCAGACCATATTTTTAACTAAAAAAAAAAAAAGTTTTCTGGCAGGAAAAAAAGTGATTATTGTCTGCTTTACAGACCAAGTCTGGTTAAAAGTATGACACATTTTAAATGGAGAAAGAAAGGTCCTGTAGAGGAGGAGGAGGAGGAGGAGGAGGAGGAGGAGGAGGAGGAGAAGGAGGAGTAGGAGTATACCTGAATACTTTTATGGCATCTTCCTTCCTGTAAGCTGCTGACTAAACATCAAGTGCAAGGGCTAAATACAGAAACCTGTTATGGAGGATACCTACTCCTGAAGAATGCCAATAAAGATTTAACCAGTCATATAGTGCCTCCTACTGGCCAGTAACCAATAATATCTAAAGCTTTCTTTAATAATTTTTACATGTATATATAAAAACTATAATTATATGGGTATTTTTGTTGACAGGGTTCCCCGGTGTCAGGTGACTCATGTTGAATTAATTGGAATCAAGTAACAACTGAATTTATTTTCTGGAAGGATTTAATAATGTGGTTACAGTAGTTAGGATGCTGGATAGCAGGTTAGCAAGCCCATGTTGGACATCCATGTGCTGCCACGGGGCGGGACAAACTCTTGCCCCACCCTGCCAGGGACATGAAAGGAGCCCCCCCCCAATTGGGCATCCCCCAGGTAATGGTGATGTCACCGGCTAATTCTTCAACCCGGTAGTTTCCAGCATGATGCTATGTGGTTACTGTAATTTCAGGAAACAACGATTGCATATAAATTATGGGTAATGCTACTGCCAAGACACTCAGGTCTCAAAATTAACACAATACAATTGCAAATTTAAGAGAAATCTTTTTTCACCCAAGAGAATTTGCCCCCTTTTGCATACTCACAATAGAAGCATATTTAAGCACAGCATCTATGAAGGTGCTTTGTTGCTTTGTTGCTGACTGCCTTCTCACTTAACCCTTAAATGTTTGCTCTTCAGGTTGTCCTCCCTTGGGTCTTGAATCGTTAAAAATTACTGATTTCCAGCTTCATGCTTCTACAGTGAAACGATATGGCCTGGGAGCTCACAGAGCACGGTTAAATATTCAGGTAAGATTATCTTTCTTTTTTAAAAAAAATATATGGAGGATATCAGGTTGTTGTTTTTTTTTTAAAAAAAACTAGTAAATGCCTTTCATTTTTTACCGCCCTAACATGTAATACCATTTTAAACAAAAGGAAACAATGCATAGCCTAATGTTGGTTAATAGTGAATACAGTAATAGAGGAACCTTAACCCTTTGTTCCTACAAGTTCCCCCTTAGCCCATTATTTGTACAAATGATGGTTTGTATATTCAGCTGTCTTGAAAATCACTTCAAATTCTTAGAGAGCTGGCAGTATAGAAATGCAATTGATAAGCCAATGCCAGACAATTAATCAAAGTACTCCCAAACATTGTTCTTGGCAGTCGGATAAAACTTGTCCTGCAGCTCTGGAGGAAGCAATACAACTCTTTCTTGGAATAATTTTTTGTGTGGAGCTGAAACAGATACAATTGTTAATTGGATTACTATCATAATATCCATACAAAGCCCTCATTGTCGTGTAGATATGGGGGAACAACACTGATCTAAGCTTGGAAGAGTTCCTGTGGGTTGAAAATCCTTTACAAATATTATGTCACAAGCAACCATCAACTCCTAAATTTTTTCTTAGTCAGATGCATGGTATGATCCCCCCCCCAATTTTCTTAAAAGGGAAGAGAAATCACTCTTTAGTTTGATGCTGATCAAAAAGGCTGGCATCAAAATGCACTCTCATAATTCTTTAGTGCTGATTGTATAGATGCTCATAACAAGAAGTGTCCAATTATGCAGAGCAAAATATCAGGCTTGATTAGAAGTTGGAGCACCTGGAAAACCCAGTGCCGAGTCCTTCAATGAACCCCTTAGAACGTTCTGAAATAATTATATTTGTGTGCTACCAGAGATTGGGCTGTTTCTTGCATCTGCATCTGCAGATGTTCTAGGATTCATAAGAAAATGTGGCATTGTGGTTTTAAAGCCATTGTCAATGCCATGATGAGAAATAGATTAGCTTTCAGCTTGTATGGTAAGTTATTTATTGGAAGCGATTGTAAGAAAGCTCTGAAAATTATGGAAAGGATGAAACTCAAAACTACTATGCACTCTAAGAGAACTATAAATATAACATCTTGTTTTGATTACCATGAAATACATGCTCTATGGTGCATGATTACTGATCTGCAGCAAAATCTTCTAATTAAAAAAAGCCCAGAAACTTCCATCAAGTTAAAGGAATAATTATATGCAAGATAATCCCAAAGGTGCTTTTTTCACGAGGCAACTGGACTTTCTTGTTTTTTCTTTGAAGACGTTTCACCTCATCCAAGAAGCGTCTTCAAGTCTGCCTGGATGGTCGGGCAGAGCTGAAGAAACTTCTTGGATAAGAAGCGGAATGTCTTCAAGGAAAGACACCTTTGGGATAACTATGACCTGGATGACTGAGAATCTCCATAGACATATGCAAGGTAACAAAAGACATTTAAAGAATCTCCTTTTTCCCTTCAGAAGTCCAGAGATGAAACATAACCTCATGCAGTCCTTTTCTGACTGATCTTTTTGCTTTTTGTTTCTGAGTTCTGGCTTTGCTATTCAACCCTGCCTTCTGTTTCACCATTTGTTCCTGTTACACACTCCAGCCTTGACCAGTACTTTGAAACAGAACCAGGTTTGGGGCTTCTAGGAGTCAATAAACAGGCATCTTCGACCATCAGCCATTGAAAAAAATGGAGGCTAGAATGTGCTACAGCTTTACTTGAGCTTACTTTTATCTCTTAACTCATTTCTTTTCAAAAGGAATCTATTCAGATTTCTAAAGACAGTTTTGCCTTCTCTTCAGGCAGGTATTAATGAGAATGATTTTTATGACGGTGCTTGGTGTGCCGGACGGAATGATCCCTACCAGTGGATTGAAGTAGATGCTCGTAGGCTAACAAAGTTCACAGGAGTTATTACACAGGGAAGAAATTCTCTTTGGCTGTAAGTAAATATATTATGTGGTAATATATTGTATGCATGCATGCATTGTCTAAGCAAAACCCAGATTTTTTAGCAACAAAATTATAATATAAATGACTATAAAACTACAATACTTTTAAAACAATAGTACTTTACGCTACTTTACGTCAAGCATGGAATTAGCCACATTGGCCCATCTAGTAGGAACTGTTGAAAGGCAGTTTCATTAGGACTAATTCTTCTTGTCGAGTTATTTCAATGGAGTTTTACTTTGTTAAATTAAATCTTGGTCTTTTTTTATCAATTTCCTCCATAATCATGGTTAGCTATTTGGGTGACACTGAGAACATTCAGAGTAAAAGGATATGTTCTTGATAATTTTCTGCTGAGACTTCTGTATTTCAAAACAACGTGTCCCTACACATTGATAACATTAATTTCAGTTCAAGGGAATCTAAAAGGTAGTTATCAGTATGTGTGTGTGTGGGGAGGGGGGAAGGTAAATAGCCTAACTCTGTTATAAACCACATAAAATGTATCTTTATTTCAAGTATTTCTGAAATAAATGTGGAAGCTCTAATCAACATATCTTGGTCTTGTTATTGAATTGTGACATCACTAGGCATGTTTCCTTTCTCATTTCCAGTTTGGATGGGATTGTTCACCATTCTTTTCATAGCCTTTGTTTGGATAATGTGTCCTTGAGGATAATGTGGCCATTATTTGTTGTTAGGATAAAACAGGGCTTCATGTTTTGGGAATATTCTTCAGTTTGATGCCGGTGCTGCTTAATTTCAAATTCAATATTAGAGGCAGAGTTTCACAAATGCTTATTTATGTACAAGGAGAATAGATACATTATAATTAATGCAGCCTGATTGAGCATCATAAATATAATTCTATTGGTAATTTATCCCTTTCTATAAACAAAATGTTGAGCATTCTGATACAAGAAAACATTGTTTCTGGTCTTGCCTTTTGGTGCCTTGATCAAACTATTTTCCAAAGCACTAAAAGTCAAGACAAGAAACAATGGATGGAAACTGATCAAGGAGAGAAGCAACCTAGAAGTAAAGAGAAAATTCCTAATGGTTAGAGCAATTAACTAATGGAATAGCTTGCCTTCAGAAGTTGTAAGTTCTCTATCACTGGAGGTTTTCAAAAAGAGATTGGACAACCATTTGTCTGAAATGGTATAGGATCTCCTGCTTGATCAGGAGGTTGGACTAGAAGATCTCCAAGGTCCCTTCTAACTCTATTATTCTATGTTATTCTATGTTATTGTATTTCACTGGGGAAAGTACGGTAGATTTCAACACATCAAGCTTTGTGTTAGGTATTAAATCTTTCCAAGCAAATGTTTTATATATTGTGCGCTGATCCTAGTAAATTTCAGTATGATTATTCAAGAGTGCCTACGTCTCAACAGCAGCACATATAACTTAATGACAGATATACAATGTCAGTTAAAATTCAACATTTAAACTCTGTTTAATTGTCAGTTGTCATAGTCTCCTTTTAATAACAGTGAAGCTCCATTCCAGTGCTGATAAAATAACGTCTCACGTTGCATTATCAAGTTTGATCACTGAAAATTCAAGATAGACTTTTCAGCGTGAAGAAAAGCAGTGATAGAAAGCTTCTCACATTAAATGTTAGGCTGTTGCACATTTATTAAAAGTACATCATTCCTGCCAGGAAAGGTTGACAGCCATAGACACTAGATTTTATTAGCAGTGTTTGGAGTACAATAAAGCTAGTCCCATTCAGAAAAAGAAAAACAGAACAGAGTGATAAAAGTAGCAATGGATAGAATTGTGTGTAGCTTCAGATTCAGCATCACGACAGACACATGGTCCATGTCTAATTGTCTGGCGGGGAAAAAGCACTGAGAATAATGCTAAGATGCTTTATTCTACTTTTGCTTTTGCAGACCCATAGAAGGCCAAAGATACAAAGCAGCATTTTTAACACTATCTTGTGAATACGAAGAAACATAAATATGGAACTAAATCAATGTCATCATAGGATAGTAGTTACTCTTTTCTTTTTGAAGCAATCTGAAAATATGGACTAGCCCCCCCCCCCTCCCCTGACAGCCAGAAAAGAATGCCTTGGGGTGTGTATCTGGTTAGTAGGAATCAATGCCTGCGTGCTTCTGTTCATTTTTCATCTATAGGTTTTTGCTATAGCCTTTTTAACTGGCATACATTGAAATACAAAAGGGGGAGTGGGTTCCAGAAGACTGCTAAGAGAAATCAATAGTGGTCATTGGTCAAAACTCTTTTATAGCTGGAATTTTATTCTGAAGGGTTCAGGAGCAAAAATGTTGGTACTGACATAAATTCAATATACCTCTGGTAGACACAATAATGATAGAAGTGAATCTCTCTTTCAGTTTCCTGATGCCATATTCTTACTTAGCTCTGAAGGTGGTTAGGTACTATAGGAGTTGAAATCAAGACAGCTTTTAAATAGTAACTCAATGAAAGTATACACTAAAAGGCAATGAAATGAAGAGCTCTCTTTCTAAAGCCATGCAGAACTGTGATGGACATCTGAAACAAAACATTTATATTAGTGGTAGTCCTCGACTTACGACCACAATTGAGCCCAAAAATTATGTTGCTAATTTGTTAAGTGAGTTTTGCCTCATTTTGCAACCTTTGTTGCCACATTTGTTAAGTGAATCACTGCAGTAGTAATGCCATTGTTAAGTGAATCTGGCTTTGACTTTGCTTGTCAGAAGGTCACAAAAGGGGATCACCTGACCCTGGGACACGGCAACCGCCGTAAATATGAACCAGTTGTCAAGTATCCAAGTGTAAATCTGCAACAGTCATAAGTGTGAAAAATGGTCATAAGTCATTTGAATGTTCGCTAAATGAACTGTTGTAAGTCGAGAACTACTTGTAATTCAGTCAAGAAGTGCTGTGGTTTAGATATTGGTCTAGGATAAGGGAGACTCAGATTCAAATCCATTTTCAGAGGTAGAAGGTCACTGGGTGACTTTGCGTCCAAGGGCTAATTTCAGCCCACCCTACTTTGCTCCCTTGTTGACTGCATTATAATGCATGGTAGAAGAACCCCATTCAGTCGATTATGTGAACAGTGTCATACTTTCTTCACTAGATGGCACTGGACCTAGGCATATCTGACAGAAGTGAGGAGCTTTTTTGTGTGTCAAGTCTGCCTTTAAACAAGACAATAATGCTTTTGTGTCACTTTTAGACTTTTTAGTCCCTCTTTAACAGGCTGCAAATGTTCGAGACTTGAAATAAACTTTTAACAGGCTGCAAATGTTCGAGACCCTGAAATAAACTTCCATGCTGGGCTGCATATGGTGATTTTTCTCATAAAAAGGTCAAGTGTTTGAACACTATTTTAAAAAAAAACGCAATTGCTACGATGACAAATTTCACAGGCACACGTTTATTTAAATGCTGGCATTCTTTTTTCCTTGTCATCTGCCTATGCACAGTAGACAGCTACCAAATTAAACTGTTAGAAAAATCTAAAATGGGTCTAATGATGAGTTTGATTAGATTCAATGGTTTCTTTGCGGTAAGCCTTAGGAAACGTGTAACTAAGGGGAAAACTTCTTTTTCTGGCCATTTTGGAAATTCTGTTCCTTTGTCATGGGTTATCTGGTTGCTAAATTAGATTTTTATGGCAATTAAACAATAATGCCATATACAGGGGCCACATTTTTCATATCTTTCCCAATGAATAATAATACCCCATTCTACAATTTCAGTCTTAAGGACATAAAACCTGTCAGTCATATTGACCTGCAGTTTTGTGACATATTCTGGAAATGGAGACACATTCTTAACTATTTTAGAGACTAGAGTTAGACTTGCAAACTCACCTAAGCTGAAGGGCTATTTTTCTCTCTGGAAATTCCAGTACCATGCCCAGAACCTTCAAATACGGATGTTCAAAATGTTAAAAACCTATTTTGAATGCAGGCAGATAGGAGAGTGGGATCATAATGTATCTTCAGGCACAGGTGGTCCTTGACTTATGACCAGAATTGAGCCCAAGATTTTTGTTGCTAAGCAAGACAGTTGTTAAGTTAATTTTGCCCCATTTTATGACCTTTCTTGTCACCGTTGTTCAGTGACTCACCGTAGTTGCTATGTTGGCAACACGGTTGTTAAGTGAATCTGGCTTCCCCAAGCTTGTCAGAAGGTTGCAAAAGATGATCACAGGACCTTGGGACACTGCAACCATCATAAATATGGGTCAGTTACCAAGAGTCTGAATTTTGATCACATGACCGTGAGGATGCTGCAAAGGTCATAACTGTAAAAAATGGTCCCAAGTCACTTTTTTCAGTGCTGTTGTAATTTTGAACATTCACTAAATCAGGGGTCCCCAACCTTGGCAACTTTAAGACCTGTGGACTTCAACTTCCAGAATTGCCCAGCCAGCATGGCTGGCTGGGGAATTCTGGGAGTTGAAGTCCACAAGTCTTAAAGTTGCCAAGGTTGGGGACCCCTGCGCTAAATGAACTGGGACTGTTCTGGAGGGCTGGACCAATGTAACACGATTTGGTGCCACCTCAACTCTTCAGGCTGATCCATGTGAGGGGCAAGTTCTGTGCAGATAAAGAAAATTGCTTTAGCTCCTCCCCCTCCTGGGGCATCAGCTGACTGACTGAGCGCATAATGACTCTGCAGAGCCGGACCCAATTCGGCATCTTGTCTTGTCCTCTGTAGCACAAATATTTAGTGACAACTAAAGGGCTGAATATGGCCTAGGCCCTAGGGGCTGTAAAATGCCCAGGTTTTTTAAGCTATTTAGCAAACATCTGGATTGCAGCACTATATTTCAATATTTTAACAATGCTAGAGTTTTTATTTTTTCCCCCAGTACTTAGATTCTTCTATATACCACTTTAATTATATATCTCAAGGAGATTCACAACCCAAGTGATAAAACAATAATTCAGTAATTTGAATCTAAATAGACTACAGAAAAGGAAACTCCCAAAACATATTCCAGATCTAGAACTGATTACCTTTGAAGATTGGACCATTTTTAGACCCCTGTAGAGTACATCATTGTACAAATATATGTAACTGAGCTGAGGGGAAACATTTTGATGGGTGTACATTATGTTTCCAACCTAAAAATACTGCACGCCCAAACACATAAACATATACACAACTCAATAATTCTATAATTCTTACTCCTGTAAGCTAAATTACCTAACAAAGAAAAATGGTAACACTTTCAAAAGTAAATATTATTTAAATCATGATACTTTATCATACTGTATTTGAAATTACCCCATAAATCAATGATATACAATTTAAACATATTTTCCTTTTAGATCTAGCTTTTCTAAGAAATTATTTAAGCTAGCATGTTATGACATGCTAGCTTAAATAATGTTATGTTGCTTTTTTTTTTTTTTGCAGATTTGGACTGCATGTTCAGCACTTAAAAATAACCTCAATAATGAATTCATTGCTTCTGTGCATATAATGGTTTTTTCCTTCTGTATTTTTCCATATTCATAAATGGGAGAAATGTATCTAGTTTTACATGTGAGAGACTATTTTTGAAGAAATGTGGGATTATTTCTGTGTACATTGTTTATTATTTAAATGTCAGTTTTTTTCAGGATCTTTTTGAACTTAGTGAATGTTCTTTTTAAATATTGTTTAAATATAACGCACTGAATTTACAAATTCACAAAAAACCTTAACGCAATTCTGGAGGATAGGAGAGATGCATCCTTTTTTTTAGTGATACTCAACATTTTAAAACATACTAAAGGAGTGGTATACAGATCAACTTACAACAGTTCGGTTTGTGACTGTTTCAAGTTACAAAGGCACTGAAAAAAATGACTTATTACCATTTTTCACACAACCATTGTAGCATGATCAAAATTTGGATACTTGGCAATTGGTTCCTATTTATGATGGTTGCAGTGTCTGTGAAGCCCAGGTCATGGCAACCGTTGAACCAGTTGCCAAGCATCCAAAGTCAATGGGGAAACCAGATTCACTTAACAACCATGTTACTAATTTAAATAACCGCAACGATTCTCTTAACAACCATGGCTAAAAAGATCATAAAATGGGGCAAAATTCACTTAACACATGGCTCAGTTAACATCATTAATTTTGAGTTCAATTCTGGTCATAAGTCAAAGACTACCTGTAGTCATATTATTTATATATACACACACAGGTGTATCTGCAAATTATGGTAGAAAAAAAGCATGGTGCCCAATGGGTGGAGCTGCATTACCTGGTCACGGCCAATGATTTTTTTTAACCATACCCTGCAGCTGACTTAGGGACATCAAAATAAGAATCCAAATAGTTTATTTATTTATGGAATTTATTTACTACCTCAATTTTCATGGACTTTAGGAGGTTAATTAATTTTCATGTTCTGCTTTTAATTAATTAAGCAATCTAATTTAGCTAATTATGGAGATGGGAGGTTTAGAAATAGGAAATCTAAATAAGTATTTTATCTAACGCATGATATTTAAACTATTTGGGATGGCAGATTTGGTTTCAACTTGTCTTTTAGTATTTTTTTCCCTCTCTTTCATAGTTAATTTTTGCTTTCCTTGGATTGTGGATTGGATTCACCTTCTAATTGCCTCTCCTCTAATATTGCTGGCTGCACTGTTATAGTCTTTCCTATTTCTGCCACATGCATTGGTCTTCCACTACTCTCAGCAGGCATGGCTGCAGATAAGAGAAATTTAAAAATGCACCAAAATGGTGAAAGCAATAATACTGGCTTTAAATAGGATATTGGGATCATTTTTTCCTTTTAAATGGGATTTTGCTTTACAGCTAAGAGCTGAGATGTGGAAGTTTTTATACTGTACATGTTAATTCATGTTCTTATTTTAGAGCTGTGCTGCAACTTTTGGATTGGAGAAGATGTTACGTATTGATTTGCTTGTAATTAAGATATGTGAAAAGTTTAAAATTTGTGAATTAAGAAGAGGTGAAGAAATTGTTTACTTTTCTACTTGTAATGAGATTGGGAAGCTGCTTTATTTAGGTGGAGAGTTATTTTAATTTTTCATTTGTTGTGCTTCCCCCCCCCCCTTAGTTTGAGTTATCCTTTACTTTTAATTAAAACTGTTAACAAAATTATTACCAAAAAAAGATCTTATCTTTGTAAATTAGGTAGGACAATAATTTTCAGTATTATGAAAAGAGAGGAATGACTCTTCACTGATTTTCTTTGAAATTTTGGAATTGCTAGCTTTATTAATTTATTAATTTATACTGAAGATTTCAATCTTTTGTTTCTTGAAATAATAATTTAGTGCAGTCCTTTCTTTGGAAATTTTGCACAAATAGCAGATAAATAAAAGGTTTAAGGGATATTGGCTATTAACATTAAAATATTGCATGACAACGATTAAATGTCCATATGAAGACTTTTATATTTATAAAGTCTATATTCCAGTTTTAAATACAAATTGACAAATCTGCTTTTTCTTTCCAAAGCATAGCATATATTAATAATAACAATAATAGAATAATAATATGGATTATGGTTCTATTGTTGTATGATATGTTGATTAGAAAGAGGGAAATACCAAATTATTATAATAATAAAAGAGAATCTTTTCTAGAAATAAAATTTGGAATGAGGAAATTGAATATTATGTACTTTTGAATCAGTAGCAAAGATTCTTAAAATCTTACATATATTGCTCATAATAACATAATGTGAGTAGTTACAAAAAAGTCAACTCCACTCCAATAAATTGGAGATGTAATATTCAACCAAAGAATACAAGTCTGTCCAGTTAGTATTCTATTTTTGTTTGATATTGAAATGAATGTAGTGTTATAAAAATCACTATGATTTAAGGAAGTGACTGAGCTTCTGAATTTCAGTAAAAAAATAAGATGGACCTTTATAACTGTATTGTGCTTATGACGTTTGACCCCTCCCTCAAATTCAGCCTAGTCATCTCCCCCATCTACCTTGCTACTCAACTGCTTTGGAGCTAATCAAATTTGGTACTTAACATATTTTGATGTGAAAATTTTGTTGTGGTAGTCATTGTTTGTTTGGTACTTGACACACAAGCTAGAACTTGTCAGTGTCGGCTGCCTTGTGAATCTAACCCTACATTCTTCCTATGGGAAAAAATTGTTTGGTACTCATTGTTTTTGGCACTCATCATGCCTCCTGTAACTAATTAATGATAAGTACCAAGGTACCACTGTACTTATTAGAATCTGGGCATTATGTATTCTATTCATGTTGTATGTTTTAATTTTGTAGTTCTATTTTTTTTTCTTTTCAAAGAACTAGCAGATGATATATAAATGCTGCCAACAGATATATAAATAGAAGCATCCTTAAGGAAGGAAGCAATTAAATAACTATAATTGTCCCATCAAACTGAAAATAACACGCTGCAAAATAAGGTGGGCTTTGATATTCTTTAGAAAGCAGATACAATGCATTAATAATAATAATAATTTAAGAAAACCATCCTCTGTTTCTTTCTAGGAGTGACTGGGTAACATCTTACAGAGTTATGGTGAGCAATGACAGTCATGAATGGATCACTGTCAAAAATGGTTCTGGAGATATGGTTAGTGTCCCAAGAAATATCTTAACTGCTTATGCCCATTCAGCAGTCATATCCCTATCAGTAAGATGGCTTAATTTCACCATTCACCTCCCCAAATTTTAAAGAATCAACAGCAGCTAGCCTGATGAAATGATCAGAAAGCCTGTAATTAACCAGATCTTAGGGAAATTAAGAATAGTGGATGCTGAATTTTGAAGTTCACTATTGAAGACCATTACATACACCTTCCACATAGATCAGGTCAAGTAGTTAAAGCAGTTTACAAAATCTTTCTACCCAAATTCAAAAATACAAGTGTATTTGTTAGGGGGGGGGGAAATCTCAAGTGAAGATTAGGCTATTCAAAGCTTCGTTAAATCTCTTGCCTGCCACTTTTGTTTGTCAACAGACACCCAGTTCAGGTAATAACATCTTATGAACAAGAGCACTGAGCTCTACAAGAGAGATGTGTGTTTTTCCAGTTTCCCTATAAGTTTTATTATGGCTAATGCAATACTCCAGACTTTTCAAAGTCTGTGACAATGTTACAGTTTGCAATATTTCTAAACGGTGAATTTATATTCTGACTGTGGTGCATTATTTTTTTTTAGACACCCCTAGATTAGAACTTCTCTATTAACAGTATATTCAAGACAGAAAAGGAAAGAAAGATTCTTGAAAGTGGAGAAACAGGATAAATGTTTGCACTATTTGAATTAAGAATAATCATGGCCATTCTATACATTCGGTTACATTTCTTTTACCCAAAAAAAGGCAACTCATACATTGTTCACTGTAACAGAACAAACATTTGTGCCACAAGTTATCAAAGAGTAGAGTATAAATGCATGCCTATTATAATAATAAGCACAGTAATAGAACTAATATAACATCTAAGAGAAAATGCAATTATTTAATTTAACTAGAAGAACTAGTAGTAGGTAGAGTCAATTACCTGCAATTGATCTGGATATATATATTTTTTCTTCTGCTGACTTTTTTTAATGTTAATTTTCCCATAGATGAAATGCAAATAGCAGTCTTGGAAGAGATCTAAAGCAAGTTTTGCAACCTATAGTTTCAAAGTTCATATAGCCTCCTCCAAAGCTGCCTAATGTGACAGAATTAAGAAAGCTGTGGAGTATTTTAAATGTATAACTTTAGATATAATTTGTTTTTTGTTTTTGTTTTTGTTCTACTCTGATTCTGTCTATCCTAGCTTGACCTACTTTTTCAGATCAGAAATCTGTATCTTTCCCAACTAATACATTTTATTAAAACTCATAAGCTTTTGTGAGCTTTTCCTTGCCAAATAGCTCAAGTGGGTTCAGCATCAGTTTCCCTTCCAAATCCTTTGTAATTTAATATTTATTTAATGCTCACAGTTTATATATATAATTACAAGCATAATATCTTTTCTCCCAAACTGGAAAAATATTCTTGCACAAAGCGCAAGATATTTAATCAATGTTTTATGTTCCTGAAGTAGATTTATATCAATAAAAGCATCCTCCGAAATATCTAAACAATTCTGTGCGTTGTTTTCTTGGACAGCTTTCATTACCTTCTGAAAGTCTGCTGTCTAAAACCCAGACAAGGGTTTATGCCAGGGGTCTTCACAGTTGGCCCTTTTATGACTTGTGGACAGCCAGTGTGCCTGGCTGAGGAATTCTGGGAGTTGAAGCCCACAAGTCATGAAAGGGACAAGTTTGAAGACCCCTGGTTTATGCCATCACCATCCCTCTGTTTGTGACCTCTCCTGGTTCTCATTTTACTGATACTGTGTCATCAGCGAAAAGCCAAAATATAGAATACAGGTAGTCCTCTACTTACAACTGTTCACTTAGTGACCGTTTGAAGTTACAACGGCACTGAAAAAAAGTGCCTTATAACCATTTTTTCAGACTTATGACCATTGCAGCATCCCCGTGGTCATGTGATTTACAGTCAGACGCTTGACAACTGACTCACATTTATGACGGTTGCAGTGTCCCAGGGTCATGTGACCATCCTTTGCCACATTCTGACAAGCAAAGATAATGGGGAAGCCAGATTCATTTAACAAGCCAGATTCATTTAACAACCAGGCTACTAATTTAACAACTGCAGTGGTTCACTTAACGACTGCTAAGTGTTGCCCCACAGAAAAGTGGGTCAAAACTCACCTGGTTACCTTCGAGACTGCCTCCTGCCACAGATTACCCCCCACCGACCTGTACGCTCTCACAGAGTGGGTCTCCTCAGGGTACCGTCGGCCAGACAGTGCCGGCTGGCGACCCCAAGGGGGAGGGCCTTCTCTGTGGGAGCTCCCACCCTCTGGAACGAACTGCCCCCAGAGATCAGGGTGATTCCTGATCTCCCTTCCTTCCGCCGCGCCCTCAANGTTTTAATTACTTTTAAATTGGACATTCTCAAATATTTCGTTTTAATTAAATTTTAACTAGGTGTAATATGTTAGCTTTTTATCATTTGTCAGCCGCCCTGAGTCCGAAAGGAGAAGGGCGGGATATAAATGCAATTAATAATAATAATAATAATAATAATAATAATAATAATAATAATAATAATAATAATAATAATAACAACAACAAATTTCTCAGCGACATAAATTTTGGGCTCAGTTGTGGCCGTAAGTGGAGGACTACCTGTACTTTCAAACTGAATTTGCTTAACAATGTTTTTTCCCCAGTACTGCTTGGTAAAAAAAAAAAAGGTTTTCCATTTGTTTCACTGCTATATTCTCATATTCCATATTTATTGAGCTGGTGGCATTCCCTTTGTCTAAGGCAGGGGTCTGCAACCTTGACAACTTTAAGACTTGTGGATTTCAGTTCCCAGAATTCCTCAGCCAGCTGTGGAGCTGAAGCCCACACAAGTCTTAAAGTTGTCAAGGTTGCAGACCCCTGGTCTAAGGAGGTAGAGCTCTAAGTATCCCTTTTAAAGGCTATATGCAGCACTCACTCTACCCAAAGGTAGATTCTTCACCAAAAGGCACAGACTCAGGTGATGTCTGGTGGGAGGCACATTTCCCCCCCCGTAACTTGCAAAGCAGTAATATGCTACCTTGCAAGTTAATGTGAAGACAAGGAAGATGAGGGAAGGGAGTTTCTCTCCAACACAGTAATCCATTTTAATTTTGCCTCAAAAGAGGCTCCATTTAAACTGAAGAAAATGGAATTAGGAATAATATTTTCTTTGGCTGGTCCATGCAACACCCAATTCTCCTTCTAACTTTTCACGGCTTTTAGTTTTTGTTATTAACGATGCCCCTTCTCTGTGTTTTGAAATAGCTTTTTGAAGGCAACAGCGAAAAGGAAATCCCGGTCCTTAATGAGTTGCCAGCGCCCCTTGTGGCACGTTACCTGCGGATAAACCCTCAATCCTGGTACGAGGAAGGAAACGTGTGCATGAGACTTGAGATCCTAGGCTGCCCTCTCCCAGGTAAAGCCATGCTTAGCACCAGACTCAGCATAAAGCATACAAATGTATATATATATACAAAGAAAGTTCTGGGTTTATTCCAGATAGTATAACAACAACAACAACAACAACAACAACAACAACAACAACAACAACAATAGAGTTGGAAGGGACCTTGGAGGTCTTCTAGTCCAAACCCTGCTGAATCTTTTTGAACCAGATGGCATATTAAGGATGTTCCAAACTTCTTAGATATGCTGTCACAAATGATACAATACAGCAGACATGTCAAACACAAGGCCCGGGGGCCAGATGTGGCCCGCAACGTGGTTTCATGTGGCCTACGAAGCCATCCTGGAAACAGTGAGGGAATGGCCCCCATTGCCTTGGCCCCGGCTCTGGCCACCCGGGAGCCAATGTACAATTTTGTGGTGGCCATCTATCCTGAAACACATTTAGTTTTAGCTCCACAAGACTGTCTGGAAACAACAAGGGACTGCCCCTGCTGTGTTGGCCCCACCCCCCTGGGTGCACGCTTGGGAGGTGTCACCCTTTGTGAGGAATGAAGAAATGCACCATCGCCTGGAAGTGGCCAGCAAATGGCCCTCGCCTACTACACATATCTGGCTTGATGGGCTCCGGGGCAGGGATTTCGGCAGGCTCTTCCAGTGAACCATACCTTGGCGCTTGCCCTGGTCCCACCCCCTTCTGCCAGAGACCCTCAGATCTGTCCCACTCCTGCCCAGGTCCCCACAGGCACCCTTGACACGAACGATGTAGAGCTGGCCATGCCCACCCAGTAGGCCACACCCACTCCAGCCACGCCCATCCAGTAGGCCATGCCCACCCTGGCCACACCTACCCAGCCCCCCAAGACAACCGTAATGCTGATGCGGCCCTCAATGAAATTGAGTTTGACACCCCTGCAATACAGGTTGTGCTCAACTTACAACTCTTCATTTAGTGACCATTCAAGGTTGAAATGGCACTGAAAAACGTGACTTATGACTGTTTTTAACATAACCATTGCAGCATCCCGTGATCATGTCATTAAACTTCAGATGCTTGGCAACGGACTCATATTTATGACAGTTGCGATGTCCGACAAGCAAAGTGAATGGGGAAGCCAGATTCACTTAACAACTGTATTACTAACTTAATAAGTACAGTGATTCACCTAACAATTGTGTCAAGAAAGGTCGTAAAATGGGGGATACTCGCTTAAGAAATGTCTCACTTAGCAACATAAATTTTGGGCTCAATTGTGGACGTAAGTCAAGGACTACCTACATAATAGGGCAGACCAGGGATTTTTCTCCTTTCTGTTTTGTCCAGCTTGCGAAAATACTCCATTTATCTTTTATTGTGCCATTTGACTTTGGGGAATTGGACACAGCTCCAAACAAAGCACTGGTTAGCAGCCACCCACCATTCTGAATTTCTGAAAAATCTTATCTACTTAGAATACTAAGTCATTAAAAAAAAAGAAGGTAGAATTATTTCCATAAGTTGTAAGGGGGATTTTTTCCATGATAGCTTGTTATTAGAATTAATAATACATGAAGAAACTAGAAAAGGTACACACATAGTAGCTGTTCATATTCTTTCTTGGTTTTTTTATTCTACAAATAGATACATAATAAGACATAATTTGCAGTAGCCTGGAAAATATATTTATTTATTGATTGGTTGGTTGGTTGGGTGGTTTAAATTTATATGCCACCCATATCACTGTTGAATAATTTTGGATAATTTTTCCCCTATTTATTCCACAAAAATATCCACAAAGATTTTTGCCCTTATTGTAAGGATCTATATCTGCATTTGATTGGTTTTCAGTATTTTCTCGACTTATTTTTCTTGACATTGGAAAGAATATTAATGGCTGAACCTAAGAAGTATGTGATTAGACTTGTAGACTTCAATTTTTAGCCCCAGTCCTTCATCTGTAGTGAAAATTGCTATTGTACTTTAATGCAGTGATTTTCTGAAATAACTTTATATGTAAGCATTAAATAAGGTATCCAATTAGATTTCTCATTTTGAAACGATTCTCTATGGATTTAACAATATGTACAGCAGTTGATATATCTATATCAGTTACTATGTTATCTCTAGTTTATATTGGCATTGCAAAGATATAAAAATACTGAGTGAGAATAAAAAAAACAGAGAATGTAAAGTGGACCAGTTATGTAAAGTTGTATCCCTATACTATTGTCAATTATGTAAAAGACGTATCCCTAGAAGAAGCTAAGTCTATTTTTGTACTTCACAGATCACTGAAAATTTTGTTCATTTTATACATGACATAAACATCATTGTACTGGATAAATTTATCTAGTATTAGCTTCTGATATATTTTCCTAAACTAAATGTTAAGGTTAATCAAATACATAGATAAGCATATATAAATAACATGATGTGGATTATAACAAAGATTCTGGTGGTTTCAATGTAGATATGAATCTTACATCTGAAGAGTAACGTTCTCCATTCTAAAACAAAAATAAATTGAAAAATGGAATAGGATGTTGAATTGTCACCTGCAGTCTGCGTAGGGATTTTCAATCACCATTTTGACTATTCTAATCAGCTCACTATTACAACAAGATCTATGTTATTATCATTCAATAACTGTTTTGTGAATGATCATGGTCAAAAATATTACTCTTTCTTTCTGAAAAATATTTATCTTTTTTTAATTACAGATCCAAACAATTATTATCACAGAAGAAATGAAATGACTACAACAGACAACCTAGATTTCAAGCATCATAATTACAAAGAAATGAGGCAGGTAGGATGCAAAGGAGCCTTAAACAGGAAACAAAGTGGCATTACTAAGAATAGGTACCCTGAAGAAATGTGAGGTAAAAAAAGACAATGCAGAGAGTCAAAATCATACTAATGGGCTATTCGGTGATATAGCCTTAGGTTATAACCATTAAACTTTGTTTTAAAATAATTGGATGCGCTTACTGATCAGTTGATTTAAAGCCTGCTTCAAAAATTTAGTTGCCTGTAATCGACTGGGAACATAATTTAGTTAAGTATTTCTCAAAATAATTCTCCCACCTACTTTATTGCAATTTTTTTTAATTTCGAAAGGGACATTGTTTTTTCTAGTTCTTTCTCAATAAGGACCTTTTTTAAAATATTCATATGGGAGAATGACACATACTGTGTTGCCCTTAAGGTGTTTCAGGGATACTATACATCAGATTCTTATTATGCTTACACTGAGTAAAAATTAAGAAAAGTCTTCTTCATGCAGCAATTGTTCATACAACGGAATTACAGAGTTGAAAGGGAACTTAAAGGTCTTCCAGTCCAACCCCCTGCTCTGGCAGGAAACCCTATACCATTTTAGACAAATTGTTGGCTAGACACTTTACAAAAAATAGTTGGGAATGAAAGAAGTACAAGGTCTGATTGACAAGAGGATAGGCTCTGGCTGGTAGGAGAAGACAGGGGAAAAAAATCTATATTCAAGTTCTGAATTTATAGGTGAGATAAAAATTTGGAAATATTAGTAAGAATTTTGTAGCAATGGGCAATTTGTAACACAACCATCCTGTTCAAGAAATATTTCTATACTAGCATGGTTCCAGCTTATGTGAAAGTCTTGTATGTATGTATGTATGTGTATGTATGTATGTTTATGTATGTATAGTATGTATGTATGTATATGTATGTATGTATGTGTATGTATGTGTATGTATGTATAGGGTTTTCACTATAGATCATCTTATGGAGCCAACGGGGACTGGATCTTCAGCAGAACAAGTTGATATGTGGATGGACTGCTCACCATTTCTTATATTCTGAGACTTGAGAGCTCAACAGAAATCTTATCTGGAATTAATAATTCTGCTGCCTGCTCTAAGAAACCTGTTTGATTTTATTATGTTCTTTGTTTAATTTTAAATGAAGCAAAATATTACAAAGAAAATACATTCTGTATCATGGTCTCCAAGCATCTCTTCATTTGGGAAAATAAGCAGCATGTTAGCTTCAGGGTAAATAACAGAATAACACAATAACAGAGATGGAAGGGACCTTGGAGGTTTTCTAGTCCAACCCCCTGCTCAGGCAGGAGACCCTATACCATTTTAGACAAATGATTGTCCAATCTCTTCTTAACCACAACCTCTGGAGGCAAGTTGTTCCAACTTCCACTGATTAATTCTTCTAACTGTCAGAAATTTCTTCTTACTTCTAGGCTGCTTCTTTCCTTGCTTAGTTTCTATTGATTGCTTCTTGTCCTGCCTTTAGGTGCTTTGGAGAATAGCTTGACTGCCTTTTCTTTGTGGCAACCCCTGGGATATTGGAACGCTAGTATCATGTCACCTCTAATCCTTCTTTTCATTAAACTAGACTTATCCAATTCCAGCAACTGTTCTTTATGTTTTAGCCTTCTTTATGTTTTAGCATCTTTGTTGCTCTTCTCTGCACTCTTTCTAGACTCTCAACATCTTTTTTGCATCATGGTGACCAAAACTGGATGCAGTATTCCAAGTGTAGTCTTACCAAGACTTTATAAATTGGTATTAACACTTCATAGGTTTCCTTCCCTGGAATAATTCTGAGAAAGCTCTTGTGATTGTGCCACACTGATTACAGGTAGTCCTCAAGTGACAACAGCAACTTGGACTGGAATTTCCATTGTTAAGTGAAGGTATACAAGGCATGCCAGTCAGAAGGGAATTTCAAAGACTGGTCATAACCACCATTGAGAGCCATTGTCACTTCAACCGTTGCTGAATGAATAGTTGTAAGTCGGTAGTCAAATGAAAGGTCTTAGAGACTCAGCCAGAGTCAAAGCCACCACAAAGTGTCCTGTGTATTCCTGTGCTGTGGTACATGTTACCTGTGGCAGGGTAGATGGTCTGATCTTAAAGTCATATGGATTTATTCAAGATCATTCTGGCTTCTGTTGTCTTTTTTGTAGGTGCTCTGTACCCAGAATGTCTCCAGAATGCTGGCGAAATTTGAATATTAAGAATTATAGTGAAAACCTAATCAGATGTATTGGATTAAAGTGTGAATTAAATGTAGTCATTCACCAGCCTTCTGTAACTCAGAAAGTATCAAAATAGGTTTATAAATGTATATTTTAAGGTAAAATAAGTTTTGGAACTAGTTAAAATATATAGTGAAATATCACATACCCCTTTTATAGATTTGTATGTGTCTCTGTGCATGTGTCTCTGTGTGTGCAGATATATTTTAGCAAACTGAGAGCCTGTTTGGTCGAGCTGGTTAAGATACCAGCTAGAAAAAGAGACCGAGTTTTAGTTCTGTCTTAGGCATGAACACTATGTGGGTGACTTTGGACCAGTTACACTTTCTTAGCACGCAATGTCAGGCTTAGGCGACATGCTGCTTGACCAATTCTTGTCTGAACTAATGGATCAACACTTGATTTATTCAAAGAAAGAAAGAAAGAAAGAAAGAAAGAAAGAAAGAAAGAAAGAAAGAAAGAAAGAAAGAAAGAAAGAAAGAAAGAAAGAAAGAAAGAAAAGAACAGACTATATCTACATTAAATTGTTAGCAATGTAATGTAGCTATAGCTTGGAAAAGAGTACATAATAGATTCTTCAGATTCTCTCTTATAATCAACCTCTCTTATAATCAAATCTGAGCATTTATCAGAGTGTTAAATACTTTGATGTGGTTCTGATGATTCTGGATTCTCTCCAATTGTGTCTAGCAAAGAGAGAGGTTTTTAATTCCCTTCATTCTTTTATAGCATATGGGATTTAAAAACAGAAAAACAAAGAAATAAATTCTCTCTCCAATCAGCACAACCAATGGTGGGAAAAGGGGGAAAAATCAATCAAAGAGCTAAATCTAAGACAAGACAGAGGCTGGGATTCCTCTGATTTTAACATTTTGGCAATCTGGGGAGACTGTTAGTTACTTCCTAATCTCCAACCTTGGGAGAAAATCTAAATTGGATTTCTTTCTCCAAGCCCAAAGGACAGAAACTCCAAATATCTAGGATTTTGTCCCAGAAAATATAAATATTGCTGTCTAAATGAATGAGTGATATATAATATGCTTGAGCAGAAATGTGCAGCAGAGCAGGCTCTATTCTGCAGCAAATACAAGTATTTGATGGGGTTCTGTGAGAGGCTAAAAAGAAACGGGAGGGAGAGGGAAGGGGGGAGCGAGTTCATTTGAATGTAGCCCTGGGCAACCATAGCAATTTTTCTAAGGTACAGTGGAAAATGTTGGATTTGTCAGCTAAGGAGGGCATTTGTACTCGTGATGACTCATCGGGGGTTCTAAGAAACAAGAAATAACAGTTTCCACAGCCTAAACAAGTTTAAAAACCCCTAAAGAAGAGGACTTTTGAAAGGCACTTGCTTTATGGTTGATTTGATTCTACTAGATACAGTAAATGAATAGTAGACTTCATACAGAGGGTACAGATGGCATTAGAGGCCACAGAATGCAATTCCATATAAAGATTCAGATAGATGTAAGCCCATTCCAATTTATGTTTAGATAAAATTAATATTCTTAGATTTAGCGCTTGAGTAATATCACTCTTAATTAATATCACCAGCAATGTAGGTGTAGAATGTGCTAAAGATTTTTTCCTACCTTATTCTTCAAATATGTTTAGAAATGAAGTGTATGAGACATTTTAGTGTATCAAATCTTTGCCGTATTTATCCTGGATGAGTCATCCTTCTTCCTTTTTACTGAACAATTGTGTACTGAGTCACACACTGTTCAGAAGAGATTTCATGGCCTATATTTCCAGCAGACAGATTAGATGAGTAGGAACTCAATTGGCATAATTAGTGTCAAGAACAATAACTTTAAAAGCGTTTTAATTCCTAAGGCTGGTCAGGTAGAATATTTGTGTGTGTGTGTGTGTGTGTGTGTGTGTGTGTGTGTGTGTGTGTGTGTGAAAGTGAAACATTAAAGCAGGGAGGAGGGTGTTGATTTCATCAGCTCTTATATAACAAATAAAGTTGTGATTAAACAGTGATTTCAACTTGCCAGTGGAGAGCTAATATCCGTATATGTATTATCTGCTTATTTAAGAATTTTCAGAGTGTTCTTGTAATATAGCAGTTCACTCTCATTGATAGTGATGGTTTTCTGCATAATCCAAATATTTCCTTTAAATGCTTCAAGCAAATAGTGGTTCAATAATCAAAGAATTGTGTATATTTGAAATGGCCCAAATGTTTGCTTTTCAGGAAAAAGAAGAGGAAAAGGGTAATTCAAAGGTGCTAGATTATGTCCTTTAAGTCTAATGTTCAGCCTTCTTAAAATTGTTGTTCCTGCATTCTGCTGATATGATTCCCATCATTTCAGTACTCTATCCTTTGCTTGCCTTTACAAGATGCCAACGTTTAATTTAAATACTTTTCTTTCATTTTCAAGAAACATGGTTATAAGGAAGCTGCTGTGCAAAAGACATGATTTAGTCTAGTGCTCTATGGAAAGAAAGAAAGAAAGAAAGAAAGAAAGAAAGAAAGAAAGAAAGAAAGAAAGAAAGAAAGAAAGAAAGAAAGAAAGAAAGAAAGGGTGGAGAGAGGCCAGCAAGATGCAGGTGGGGAGATCTGGTATCCTAGTAGAGTTAATGCATTGCAAAGATGATTCCCACCGTTATTAGAGGAAACGTGAAGAGACTACTTGCTATGAAACATTTTATTTTTAATATCATTTTAATAGGCATTTCTATGTCATGCCTCAGCAGGCATTTCAAAAGCAGTCAGGAATGTCATTGAAGGTAATGAAAGTCAATAGAATTTTTTAAAAAATCAATCAGCT